AATGAAGAAGCCAAGAAGAAGGGCTACGATATGCGCAGTGACGCCATTTCCATCAAGGCAGCCAAGGCCTCCAGGGACATCGCCAGTGATGTAAGTGCTTCATTTAAGTGTCATGTTAGTTGCATTAGAAATTTAAAATTCATTTTACCACAGGCAAGCAATCATAGTTCAGCAAAAGATTAAAGTAAATAAATTATTTCAACCCAAAGCCAGGCTCCCCTTCGGACTGTGTCTCTCCTACTGTTTACTGTATGTGGAAAGACGTCGCCTCCGAGATGTAGAATGTGTATTATAGAAGAGAAACGCACATTTCCGGACCGCTGACTTGTACCATCAGAACAGACATGTCCTGTGATTTCCAGCCTCCTTTCATATTTAATAGAGGGGGGACAATATCTGACAGTAATATTCTCAACTGTCAGGATGTGCCTGCTGTAAAGAGTAAATATAATCATAGGAGGCTGAAAATCACAGGACATGTCTGTTCTGATGATACAAGTCAGCAGTGTAAAGCTCAAGCATGTGGGGGCCTCCTTTCATATTTAATAGAGGGGGGACAATATCTGACAGTAATATTCTCAACTGTCAGGATGTGCCTGCTGTAAAGAGTAAATATAATCATAGGAGGCTGAAAATCACAGGACATGTCTGTTCTGATGATACAAGTCAGCAGTGTAAAGCTCAAGCATGTGGGGGCCTCCTTTCATATTTAATAGAGGGGGGGGCGGGGGCGTATCTAAAAGTACAACTGTCAAGATGCCCCCCACCACAGGCCTTTGCCACCTTGGTCTCAAACAAACCCAGAGAAAATCCTGAGCCAGGTCACAAAGTCCAAAGACTCCGGTAAAGAGGCAGAGCTAGTAACAGACATAAACATAAAGTAACTCAGTGTATCATGGGAAGTCAGAGCAGCCTAAGTAGGGGCTGGTTCAAGGCAAGCCTGAGTCAGCCCCTACTATAAGGTTTATGAAAAGGGAAAGTCTGGAGCCTGCTCTTAAATGTGGAGACGGTGTCTCCGGACTAAAACTGAAAAATGTTTCCACAGGAGAGAGGCTTGATAGCTGGAGGCCCTGACTCCCATTCTGCTCCCATTCTAACCAGTGATTATTTCACATTTCTTCCAGTACAAGTACAAGACAGGATACCGCAATCAGGTGGGCCACCACATCGGTGCTCGCTGTGTCCAGGACGACCCTCTGCTCGTGCTGGCTCTGAACTCAGCCAAGATCGCCAGTGATGCTCTGTACAAGAAGGACTTCAACAGGTCCAAGACCAAGTTCAACCTGCCTGTGGACATGCTGACCCTGGAGCTCGCCAAGAAATGCCAGATTCAGGTCAACGACTTCAACTACAGAACTCATCTGCACCAGTGGACCTGCCTGCCAGACTCCAACGATGTGGTCCAGGCCAGACATGCATATGACCTCCAGAGCGATGTGAGTTCAGCCTCCCATGCTTATTTGTTTCTCTGAGCCTTTAATTTCATGTTGATGCCACTGAGTGTGTCAGAAGTTGAATCTTCTGTCCCTGCGCTTTGTAGGCCGTCTACAAAGCTGACCTGAAGTGGCTCCAGGGCCTGGGCTGGGTCCCCATTGGCTCACTTGACGTGGAGAAAGCCAAGAAGGCTGCGGAAGCCTTGAGTGAAAGGAGCTACCGCCAGCACCCCAGCATCTTCCCCTTCAAAAGCACCACAGACGCCATGAATATCGTTCTGGCAAAGAATAATGCTCACACCATGAACAAGGTTTGAATTATCTGTTATTTGGTAAAATACATATTTATTTTTGTTAGAGTAAATAATGACTGTACGTTTAGATCTGTCTCTGGCGATGTCTCAAGTCAATACCATTTACTAACACTTAAGTTATTTGTGGATTCTTCCAGCGTCTTTACACAGAGGCATGGGACAAGGAAAAGACCCAGGTGCACATCCAGCCTGACACACCTGAGATCCTCCTGTCTCAGCAGAATGCTATCAACGTGAGCAGGGTAAGTATTCTTCTTACTGCACATGATAAGGGGATGGTCCCTGCTGCATCTGGTATGTTGTACTGGGAACCTGAAGCTTTCCAGAATTAAGTGCCATGATTAGACCTCTGTTTGTTCAAACTGTTAACAGAAGTATTTATATTTGTCACTTTTCAGAAACTCTACAGACAAGGTTTTGAGGCAACCATCAACAAAGGCTATTTCCTCCCTGCGGATGCTGTCTCCGTCAAGGCTGCCAAGGCCTCCAGGGACATCATCAGTGACGTGAGTGACTCATACTGAACTGAATACTTTTATATGACCGGCACATTTCTATAAGACATCACACGAGACATGTCCTAGCTCTAACAGTAATTTCTTTCTGCTGATATTATCAGTACAAGTACAAGACAGGATACCGCAGTCAGGTGGGCCACCACATCGGTGCTCGCTGTGTCCAGGACGACCCTCTGATCATGCTGGCTCTGAACTCAGCAAAGATCGCCAGTGATGCTCTGTACAAGAAGGACTTCAACAAGTCCAAGACCAAGTTCAACCTGCCTGTGGACATGCTGAGTCTTGAGCTGGCCAAGAAATGCCAGATTCAGGTCAACCACGCCAACTACATCACCCGCCTGCACCAGTGGACCTGCCTGCCAGACTCCAACGATGTCGTCCAGGCCAGGAAAGCCTACGACCTCCAGAGTGATGTGAGTCCTTCTGTGACAGATTCAACATACCTTAACACATCACGCCATGTGGACTTTGCTCACGTGTTTTACATGTTGTCTCAACAGGCTGTGTACAAAGCTGACATGGATGAGGTCATCGGCGTAGGATGGGTCCCCATTGGTTCAATCGATGTGTTGAAGGCCAAGAATGCTGCAAGAATTCTTAGTGACCATCTCTACAGGCTGAAACCAGACACACAGAAATTCACAACTGACATGTCCTCCATGCCCATGGTCCTGGCCAAGGCCAACGCTGAAGTCATGAACAAGGTAATAAAAGATATCACATCTCTTCTTTGTTCAGTCCTTTCCTGTGGATGGTTTAGTGAAGCATCATAAGCATTATAGCTAAGGATTTAACTTAAGGTATCATGTTTTCTCAGTTAAAGACAACAGATATCTCAAACTGATTCCTGAAGACATTTTACAGTACGGCTTAAATGTGCTATGAATATTTCACAGTTGTCTCGGTAACGGAACACCAACCCACTATTTTAGTAGTGTTTAAATAGAAATTGTCGTCCTGTAGCACCAAAAAGGGCTCATAGTGCCGCAAGTGCTGTATCGTAGGCAACTGGGCTTGCTTGAGCTTCTTGAAGATGCTTTGCCTCTCTTTCAAGAATCTTCTTCAGCTCTAAAGGTCTGGTGCAGAGTCGCAGTATAAATGGTGTCGTATCACCTCAGACTTACAATGCAGTCTTGGATCCCTCCCTAGACACCCATTCTCACCTGGACCCATCTAACCGTAACGACACACAAGATGGCTGGGTGGGTCAGCGATTCACATGTGACCTTAATGACTCTGTCAGGGTTCATACCCACACAGAGTTTAAAATCTTGTGACTCCGCACCAGTCCTTTGGAGCTGAAGAAGCTTCTTGGATGAGAGGTGAAACATCTTCAACAAACTCAGAAAGTACAGTTGCTTACGATACAGCACTGATGATTACCATGACCTGGATGACTGAGAATCTTCACTGACAGACTCATAGTGTCCAAAAACCAAAGAAAAGACGATCTTATCAGACGTAGGAATGAAAGCCAGCACTAGTTAATGAATACACAAGGATGAATCTGAGAACAGCAGATTTTTCTGTTTGCAAACGGACCCTCATGTCCTGCAGGGTCTTGCATGTGCACATGAACACGGTCTATGACTCCAAACAGCGGGGAATCCAGCGATGAAGAAAACCTGTTTGGAGTGCACGTCTTGCTCTTTGGTATGAATCTTCAAGATGCTGCTCAGAAGATGACTGAGAGACTTTAGGACAACCTGTCATCTCGTGGACTCATGCACTCCGAAAAACATCACCTATAACACACAAGGACGAGCCAGTGGCAGAGTGAAGTGCAGGGAAGCAGTGAGAGCGCAGCTGTGCTGTATCAGGTGCTCCGAATCCGGCCCCAGTTTGTTGGACAACAAATAGACTAACTGCTGAATTAATCATGGTTCATACAAGATGTTTGAGGAGGTACTTGGATTTGGCACTCAGAAATATACAGTAAGTACTGGAATACCTTGAAAATCTGAGTTTTTAACTGATCCTTGAAAAAGCACTTGAATAAAACTGAGACGAGAACAGAACGATAAACTATTATAGAACAACATATTAGAGAACTACGAAGCTAAGAATGGCCGTGCTCACGTTATATTTTAATGTCTAATGAGTTCAGAAAGCCAACAGGTTTAGGCTGACCAAACGTCCTCTTTTGCCCGGACATGTCCACTTTTCACGTCCGGGGGTCTTTTATAAACTGATGATAATGTCTGGTTTTCCGTGTGTTTGTGTGTGTGTGTGTTAGATTGCGGCACGTGCCGCATATTTCTGTCCGAACCCGAACCGAGCCCGACATTATTTAATGACCAAAGCACTGAGTTTGTGTCACACAGTGGTTACAGGCTATTTAACAGGCCGGGCGTGCGCCGTGGGTGCTCAGCTGCAGAGAGGGAGACCTCCGTGTTGGAGACGGGAGCGGGAGGCAGGAGGTCCGACGCTTCCAGCGAGAGGAGAGGGAGAAATAAAACAAAATAAGATAAAATAGGAAAAACCTGTCTTCCTCTTTTATTTTATTTTCAGCGTTTAATCAAGGCGGAGGCGGGCGGCTGGAGGTCCGAGACTTCCAGCGAGGAGAGAGGTAGAAACAAACAGCCAGTGTGTGTGTGTGTGTGTTATGTTCAGGTGTTGTCACGTAAATAACAGTGCCCAAGCAATAAACAGGACAGACAATAGGATTTTATTTATTTTTACACTACATTTTCACTGAAAGCTGACCGAATCCAACCCGAGCCCGAATACAATTTATAGCTACATTTTTGACCAAACCCAGCCCGACCCATCGGGTACCATCGGGCTCGGATCGCCACACTCTAGTGTGTGTATGTGTCCCCTATCTATAGGGGCCTATCTGAATTTCTGTCTTTGAGAGATATTATTTTGTAATATAACTGAATTTTCTATCCATACATATAAATTTTAAATAAATTAAAATTATAAGACATCTTTGAGTAAACTGTGAGTATCATTTAGGTAGGCTATGTCGTGGCCGGCCGAGTGTCCTCTTTTTTGGAAATCAAAATATGGTCACCCTAAACAGGTTAGTAAACACCAGTAAATAGTCTGGGCCAGGATGTTTCACCAGCCTGAGAAACACTCACACCCCGCTCCAGGTTTAATCACAACTCTGTGAGAGGACGTGACTTTATACCTCCTGACTGATACTGCAGATTACGACAGAAGTTATTGTTCTTCTTTACAGTGAGATCATCTCAGTGAGTTGTTGTTTGTTAGAACATGTGAGTTCAGACTCAACAGATGGTGCAGTAATCGATGCGCTGTGTTCTGCACTCTGCATATTCTCCTGCTTTTTATCCTTTGCCCGTCACATCAAACAATGAAAACAATTTCATCCTTGAAAGTGAAAATGAGCGCCTAAAAAGTACTTAAAGGTCCTTGAATTTGACTTCCATCTGTACGAACCCTGAGATCATCCTGCAGTAACTTCTGGTCAGTTAGTTATGGTTCCTGTCCTGAAACACTCTCTGTAGAACACCTTTGCTCTCCTTTTTTAAAGATTATTTTTTGCCTGTAATGGGCAGTGACAGGGTGAAATGGGGAGAGAGAGAGAGAGAGAGAGAGAGAGAGAGAGAGAGAGAGAGTGGGGGGATGACATGCAGAAAGGGTCACAAGCCAGAGTCGAATCTGCGACCGCTGCAGCGGTGATGAATCACCTTTGTATATGGGGCGCCGGCACTATCCACTAGGTTACCAACGCCCCACCTTTGCTGTCCTTGATGAAAATATAGTCAGCCATGGTGCGCTGTGTTGAGGTGAAGCAGCTGTTAATGGTTTTATCTGTACATAGTTGCTAAGGACGACAGTGCAGTGCCTTACCAGATTCACAGAATGACTTAAGATAAAAACACAACAGAAGAATGAAAAGTCTTTGAGGAAATATCCTGAGCACAAGTCGTCAGGTGACTTTGTGCAACTTTTCTAAGGGAACCTTAAGGTAAGGAGAATCTTATGGTAAGACGCTTCATGCAGCACTTACAGTTTGTGTTTTTGTCTTTTCCTGTGTGACTCCACAGAAAAACTACATCTCTGCCTGGGAGGCCGACAAGCTGAAGATCCATGTGCCCCCTGACATACCTGAGGTTTTGCTTTCTAGATCCAACGCTTACAACATCAGCAGGGTACGTTTGGTCTTTTTCTGTTAGAACTAGAGATCTCCATCTGTGTCAGTAAACGTCAGTGTTCAACTAGTTTCATTTCTCCTTCAGAAAAACTACAGGGAAGGTGTTGAGGAGATCTTCAGGAAGGGCTACGACATGAAGGCTGACGCCGTCTCTGTTGTTGCTGCCAAACGTTCAAGAGATATCATCAGTGATGTGCGTAACACATGAACGGATACTTCCTCTCTGATATTTTATCTGTACAGTATTATGGTAATCATCACCACACTCTTTCTCTCTGCACAGTACAAGTACAAGACAGGGTACCGTAAGCAGGTGGGCCACCACATCGGAGCCCTCAGTGTCAATGACGACCCTCTGATCGTGCTGGCTATGAACTCAGCAAAGATCGCCAGTGATGCTCTGTACAAGAAGGACTTCAACAAGTCCAAGACCAAGTTCAACCTGCCTGTGGACATGCTGAGTCTGGAACTGGCCAAGAAATGTCAGATCCAAGTCAACGACTTCAACTACAGGACTCATCTGCACAACTGGACCTGCCTGCCAGACTCCAACGACGTGGTCCAGGCCAGGAAGGCGTACGACCTACAGAGTGACGTGAGTCCTGACACATTCTCAGACTGTGTTTAATGAAGACTGCAGCGTGCTGTCTGTCAGCAGCTTCTTAAATGTCTCAGAGCCTTTTCACACCTTAAAATTCAAACCAAGGCTCACGTTTTTCTGACATTGTGTAGATGTGATCTGGTTAGTTTTAGCTTTACATTTCAGTCATGCACACCAAAGAACAATATATGACATACCTTTGACCTGTCGTCACCTACTTCAGCTGTGTCTCACTATACTTGACACTGATTGGTCTGTAGGTGGTCTCTCCTCTTTATAAAGTTGTCTCCCTCTCTCTGTGTTACTGTGGCTCATCTTGTTATGTGAGCATTTACAACCAATCCATAACTTTACTGTTCACTTCTCTTCTGCTCTGATCGCCATCATGTTTCTGCTCTAGTGCAGCCACTGTCACTCACACACACTCACTGCACGCTGAGGCGCTACATAACTTTCACTGCCTGACAGTAGCCTCACAAAAGTTATTATAATTGGTCCAGAAGTCAGAATCATCCAAAAAAATATTCTTACTCCCAAATTGGACCGGGCCATTGTTAACTGTTCATTTCTTTTTGTCAGACCAAGGGTCAGCACTTTAGTCCAGACCGTCTCTGCGGTGCAATTTTGGTTTGGATCAAACTTTAAAATCCAAAAGTCCCGACCAAACAAGGCGATTGTGAAAGAACCCTTAAATTTAAATTAGTAAACTCTAGTTTTAATTTATGAGGCGTGTTTACATTGCTGATGTTACAGATATTAAACCCACCACTGAACTGAATCCCCTCACCCTCGGGGTGGGAATCACCAGAGCCTCTACTATACGATATTATCATGATACTACGTCACGATACAATATTATTGTGACATTAGATATGTTGCGATAAAATAAATCGCAGTTTATTACCTTTTTTAACTGTAAATTATGTCCCTAAAGAAAAACTTTGTCAACATCTGTTTTATCTAATAAGATAAAGTTTTTAGTCTGTTCATCTCACAGCGACTGATCATATTATTCTAATAGGCAACCTAAAGTTTCATTTGTACTTGTAATGTTAATAATTTATATAATAAAAATTCGATACTTGGCACACAAAAATATCACAATACGATTGTGTATCGATATTTCCCCCCTCATCCTGTCTTCACTTAGCTTTTGGCAAAATGTAGATTAACCTAACTTGTCTAATGATTATATTCCTTAAACCTACCTGTGTGTGGTACTTCTTAACTTTATTCTTAAGTCTGATCAAAATGATCTGATTGAAAAGGTCTTAAAAAGCATCAAGTTTAATCATCTGATATCTGTCAACACCCTGTGAGAGGATATTTCTTTCTTTTGATGTGACTCCTGTTTTTCGTTGCCCTCTGTGACCTGCAGGCTGTTTACAAGGCCGACATGGAGTGGATCAAGGGAATGGGCTGGGTGCCAATCGGTTCACTTGATGTGGAGAAAGCCAAGAAAGCTGGAGAGATCCTGAGTGACATTAAATATCGTCAACATCCCAGCATCTTCAAATTCACTGCCCAGACAATAGACATGCCGTACGCCTTGGCTCAGGCCAACGCCGCCAACATGGACAAGGTACAGACATCAGACATTCAATGTTATTTCACTCAGTTTTGTGTATTGGAAGTATTGCACCAAATGTTTCGTGATGTTTGACACCAGAGAGGAAGACTTGTTTTAGACAAAGCTCTGTTGGCTTTGTGATAATAATAATAATCCTCTCTGACTCAGATAAAGTCACTTCTGACTGAACCGTGTTGATGTGCTGTTTACAGAAAGCATACACTGCTGCCTGGGACAAGGACAAGCTCAACATTCACATCATGCCCGACACCCCAGAGATCCTCCTGGCCCAGCAGAATAAACTCAACACCAGTCTGGTAAGGCAGACCCTCTTCATGTAGATGTGTAACCAGTTAGTACCTCACAGGTTATGATGTCAGTGACTGTTGGTGGTGCTACAGTTTGAAGAACCAACAATTGTGAAAGGGCTGTAGCTCCATGGGTGTCATGGTGTATGGCACACAGTGAACATATCAGACACCCTGACAGCCTGATTCTTGTTTCCCTAGAAATATTACCATGAGGGTTACTGGGACACCATCCACAAAGGCTACTTCCTTCCCAAAGATGCTATCTCTGTGTTAGCAGCCAAGGCCTCCCGCGACATCGTCAGCGACGTAAGTCTCATTTGTGTGTTCGCTTCACAAGCTGAATTCTTCTGCAGCATTTTGTCACTGCTGCCATGACACGTTAATATGAAACTAATCACTGTATTTCTCTCCCAGTACAAATACAAGGCTGGTTTCCGTAAGCAGTGTGGCCATCACATCGGCGCCCTCAGCGTTAACGATGACCCACTGATCATGTTGGCTGCTAACGCAGCCAGGATCTCCAGTGACAACATCTATAAGAAGGACTTCCACAAGACCAAGACCAAGTACAACCTGCCTGTCGACATGCTGACGATCGAACTGGCCAAGAAATGTCAGCAGCAAGTCAACGACTTCAACTATAGGACTCACCTGCACCAGTGGACCTGCCTGCCAGACTCCAGTGACGTGGTTCAGGCCAGGAAGGTTTACGACCTACAGAGTGATGTGAGTAGAGCCTGTACAGTTTGTTGTTAGCTCTTATCTTACTCTCATGCTGTCACGCCGAAAAGTATCGTCATCGTAATGGAAATAACCTTAAAGGGATATTTAGGATCCGTGCAAACACATTCTTAGTGTTGTTGGAGTTTGTCTGTTTGTTAGTTTCACAGATATTCAGACCCAGCATTTTAAATCCAGATCTGCCTCAAAAGAAAAATGTAATAAAAATCCCTTCATCCATTTTCAGAGACATCGTGCCGTCAGAACAGAAACCTGACGATTAAAACTGATGTTTGTGTTTCAGGCCGTGTACAAAGCTGATCTGGAGTGGCTGAGAGGATGCGGCTGGTCACCACAGGACTCTGTGGACGTCCTCAAAGTTAGACACGCCCAGACTATTATCAATGACAGGCTGTACCGCCAGCCTCCCAGCACCGTCAAGTTCACCAGCGTGGTCGACCTCCCTGCAATCGTCCTGTCCAAGCAGAACGCTGACAACATCAGTGAAGTTAGTACAAGCACATTTTAACACTTTACAAACACCTGTTTGAACCAGGGCGTCAAAATAAAGACATTCATGTTGTTTTTCTGTCCGACAGAGGAAATATAGGGAAGTCTGGGATAAAGACAAGCTCAGCATTCACCTGCCACCTGACACCCCGACCTTTGAACTGTCCAAGGCCAATGCCATCAACATCAGCAATGTAAGTCTGGATTATTGCACACATCAGTTCTGCCTCTGATGAATGTGTAATTGGCTCAGTGAATGATTTCTGTGACACTACAGTATGTCTTCACAGTGTTTTTGATCATATGTTCTTGCCCTCTGCAGAAACTGTACACCAAGGCGTGGGATGAGCAGAAGGCCCGAGGATACAACATTAAGGCAGATGCTATTTCCGTGGTGAAGGCTAAAGCTTCCAGAGATATCAGCAGCAACGTAAGAATACGATCTGGAAAAGGTTTAAATAGAATAGATTCTTAAATGAGATCCTTTCTGGCTCGTCGTCATTCAGTCCTTTGTCTTTTCTCTTTTAGTACAAGTACCTGGCGAGTTACCGTAAGCAGGTGGGCCACCACATCGGCGCTCGCTGCGTCCAGGACGACCCTCTGATCATGCTGGCTATGAACTCAGCAAAGATCGCCAGTGATGCTCTGTACAAGAAGGACTTCAACAAGTCCAAGACCAAGTTCAACCTGCCTGTTGACATGCTGAATCTGGAACTAGCCAAGAAATGTCAGATCCAAGTCAACGACTTCAACTACAGGACTCATCTGCATCAGTGGACATGTCTGCCCGACTCCAACGACGTTGTCCAGGCCAGGAAGGCGTACGACCTCCAGAGTGATGTAGGTTCATGGTAGTGTTGGTGGACAGTATTCATAGACATATACTTTTTGGATCTTTTGATCATGTGTATGCTACTCTGATATCATTATTCTCTCCTGATACCTGATCTCACATAACATCCGATACCACCACATTAAAACAAAAGTCAAGGCTCAGGTTAAACCCTCTGTTAACATACTTACCTGCTTATACCTGATCCAGCATTATGGCCAGTGACGGAGAAGTTGGTATTGGAACAGCTCTAATGTAATCTGTGTACTCCTTCATGTCGTGGAAACTCACGAAGACGTCTCCCTGTTGTGTTTCCTCAGGCTGTGTACAAAGCAGATATGGAATGGTTACGTGGATGTGGATGGATGCCACATGAGTGTGTGGATGTCATGAAGGTGAAGCACGCCCAGAAGATCCTGGCTGATGTAAGTCCCACCACAGATATTCATGCACGCTTGTTTTTACATCATCTGTAGAATTCATTTGAACCAGACAAAGTGCACGTGCAGTAAGTGTACGTATCTGTCATGGTGTTTTACAGAGAGGTTACCGTGTGAAGTTGGATGATCAGAAGTTTGTGGTTCCAACTGACAGAGTCGACCTGGTCTGTGCCAAGAACGCTGCTGATGTCCTGAACGAGGTGAGGAAGACTCTCTGCTCTTCACATGCTGTCTGGATGTGTTTAGAGCGTAGAACATATACAAACAGGTCTGAAGCCTCTGTGATGTCATCCAGTGGTTTTAAGCCTTGAGTTTAGCATTTTGGCCGTCGCCATCTTGGATTTTTGGAGCCAGAAGTGACCTCATTTTGTAGAGAAGGTGGAGCTAACCCTGCTGCTGTGATGCAGTAATGCTTATGCAAATTTCCACCAGAAAAACAAAATGTGTTTATCTGAAAATCTGAACGTCCGACTCCTCAGAGCAGTGACACCCAACTTTCGGCCCACAGGGCAGATCGGCTGCAGGGTGGCCAGCTGAGCATTTTCTTATTCCCAATGAAAATTAATTAATTCACACTGGGAATGTTTTTGTAATTGAGGTGCCAGAGTGCATAAAACTGCATCCAAAAAGAGCTGGTTTATTGAAAGAAGGATCACACAGATCCTCGACAAAGGTCTGGGCTGAGCCTCCGATGTCCTGATGTCGTAGAACCTGTCCTGAGCTCTGTTAGTGGATTTATCTCTTGGCAAAGATAAGTGACGACAGCCAACATCTGAAAATTGAACACAGGCAATTTATTTATTATATATACTGATAAATATGATCAATGTTTGTTCATTAACTGGCCCCTGGCCTCCTGTCGATTTGGACAAATGGCCCCCAGGCAAAGCAGCGCGAGTTTCCTGCCTTAGAGGGTCGTTTAGTACAACTGAACACTGAATGAGACTTCTTTAGGTGACTGAGTGGTTAAAATGCACTTTCATTGACTGAAAACAAGCTGAAATAATGAGACCTACAGCTACGCCTTCACTTTGTGAATCTTAGGTTACGCCACGGTTACGTTACCTAACCAGCGCTGTCAACAGGGGGCGCTCACCTGCCACTCAAAGCAGCCACGGCTTTAAATATGCAGAACTTTAAGCCTTAATAAAATGTTGAGTTATATTAAAAGTCAGCCCTGCGAGTTTGACTCCGGCTTGCAACCCTCTGCTGCATGTCATCCCCCCACTCTCTCTCTCTCCCCCATTTCTCACACTGTCCTGACCATTAAAGGCAAAACGCCCAAAAAAATAATCTTTAAGAGTTCATGTCTTCTGTTAACCCACCTGTAGTAAACTGACAATGACAGGTTTCAGTTTTTGGTAACTCAATCTTCTCTCTGTCTCTCTGTTTAGGCCAAGTACCGTGAGGCCTGGCACCAGGACAAGACCAAGTACTCACTGGTGGACACTCCAGTTCTCGCCACAGCCAGAGAGGTGGCCAAGAACGTTCACCCGGTAAGATGACTCAGTTCAACTGTACCTCGCCCTCTGTGTTATCCTCTCCTGTTATCATCAGCCTCATCAGCAGTGCGTCATCATAAACTTATGATAACGACTTCCATCTCTCGCAGCATCTGTACACCCAAGCCTGGGATAAGGTCAAAGCCACGGGCTACTACATGCCCGGAGATGCCGTGCCAATCAAGCAGTGCATCAGTACGACTAAAGTGCAGAGTAAGGTGAGTCGTGAGACAAAGTTACATCACAACAGGAGCATTTGTTAAAGCTGTTCTTCATTTATCTGAGAGCCTGGAAACATGGAGATCATGATGTGTGTCTGTCCCACAGCACAAGTACCTGGAGAGCTACCGTAAGCAGGTCGGCCACCACATTGGCGCCCTCAGCGTCAATGACGACCCTCTGATCATGCTGGCTATGAACTCAGCAAAGATCGCCAGTGACGCTCTGTACAAGAAGGACTTCAACAAGTCCAAGACCAAGTTCAACCTGCCTGTGGACATGCTGGCCTTTGAACTGGCCAAGAAATGCCAGAGACAAGTCAATGATGACCTCTACAGAACCGGACGCCTGCACCAGTGGACATGTCTGCCAGACCAGAACGATGTCATCCAGGCCCGCAAAGCCTACGACCTTCAGAGCGATGTGAGTGCCAATCACTCCGACCTATGGGCCATTATCATCATAGTGACACAATAAATTGACTTCTGTCCTAATACGTGTGTTGCTTTCTGTTTCCAGCACGTGTACAAGGCTGATCTGGAGTGGCTGCGTGGCTGCGGCTGGATGGCGGCTGACTCTGTGGACCACGTCAAGGTCAAGAAGGCCCAGGAGATTCTCAACGAGGTACGTTTACTGTGTTTCATTCAGTCTTTCATCCAGCTGTCAGTGTCAGTTTGTGGCGTCTCACCTCAGTGCTGTGATTTACCTGCAGAGACTCTACAAGAAGAACGCCCAGGAGTGCTTCGGAAAGTTCACCCTGATTGTGGACCGCCCTGAGATCCTGCTGGCGAAGATGAATGCAGCTAACCTCAGTGACGTAAGTACAAAACTGACACGTTCTACATTTAGAGAATCAAAGCAATAAACACTGATCAGATCTGAGTTGTGTTGATTCTTCGTCCTACAGCTGAAGTACAAAGAGACCTTCAACGCAGAGAAAGGTCTGTACATTGGTTCAGAGGACACGCCTCAGCTGGCCCACAGCAGGGAGGTGTCCAAGATCATCAGTGAGGTAATGTCATATCTATTATTACATTCATTTATGATTACTATAGACTGTACATCACATGTTGTCTCTAACTCTGTGTGTGTGATTTCAGAAACTCTACAAACAACACTGGGATGAGTCCAAAGCGACGGGCTACAAGCTGGACCATGAATACATCCCACTCGTCAGTGGCAAGAAGGGCAGGGAGATCGCCAGTGATGTGAGCGTCTGATCAGCACATGGAGTCAGGTCTTCCTCCTACAGAGTATAAATATCATATCATGAGACTCTTCTTGTTGTGGATCCTCCCAGGTCAAATACAAGGATACCCATGAGAAGGCCAAGGGTCACTACATGGCTGGAACCCTGATCGACTTCCCTGAGGTGGTGCGCTGTGGACAGCAGGAGAAGAACAAAGGACTGGTATGATGTCCACAACAGTTTGTCCATTTATTCCTCACATGTCAAGGCACCTTCATACATTCACACCTTCACACATTCACACCTTTATACATTCACACCTTCACAAGCCCAGGTTCATTCATGTCAGTAAAAACAGTGTCAGTACCTCTCCTTGGTCTCCACAGAGGGTCTACCATAAGGACTACCACCTCAGCAAGACCAAGACCCACCTCCCACCTGACATCATCGCTAACACGGTCGCTAAGCGCTGCCAGGACATGCTGAGTGATGTCATCTACCGCACCTACCTGCACCAGTGGACCTGCCACCCCGACCAGGAGGACGCCATCCGTGCCCGCAAGACCAACGAGATCCTCAGTGACGTAGGTTCTTCTTCAGGACACACCTGCTGCAGCTGCAGACGTCTGGGACACATGAACTGTTTTTAGATGTTACGTTAGATATACAGGCAGCGCAGCGCTGAGCGATTCATTTCATTTGATCCTCAGTGAAGTAGGTTCTTCTTCACGGCTCACCTGCTGCAGCTGCAGACTCTCAGACACAGTGAAATGTTAAGTCAGATTTACAGCTCCTCTACATGCTGCTCAGTCGTCACAGCTCACGGCTCTTCTGCCGACAGTGTGAGGTTTTTTCCTCTCCTCTTGTGCCCTGTTCATATTTATAGAATATATATTATCATTTTGATTTATGCCATTCTTTTTACATTTTTTCAATTTGTTTGTCAGCTAAATTATAGTTAGAGTTAAAAAAAAATCCACAGTTTTAAAAGACAAGATTTTTTAAGTTCTATAAATAAATGTTTTCAAAGTTAACGAGGAGTGATGATAAATAATTGTGATTATGATTTTGCCATAAATGAGCAGCCCTCAGGCAGTGTAACCATCTTTATATGTATTTTATATTGTTAATTATTATTTGTCAAAAGATCTTAAAAATCTGAGAGCTGGTATAATCTTGGAGATGTTCTCAATGTTCTCATGAAGTGAGAATTTTCTTTGTAATTACAGTTTTTATTTTACAGGCAGCTCATGTCACAGGACAAACGTCAGAGCTCAACCTGATATACAGTTTATACTGTAATACAATTATCTTCTTCTCTTAAAACTCAGATGTTTGTTCCATGACTGAACATAAAATATTCACAGTTAAGGACCGGCCTACGTTTCAGACTTTGTTGTTTTATAATCCTGCACGAGCTCTCAGATCTTCTGCTGCTCAGTTTTTAATGAAACACAATTATACGCACAAGAAAACAAGCAGCGTTTATTAACTCCAACATGACAAAGTACCTTAAAAAAAGATTTTTAGACAACAGCTAAAATCTATTTATTTAATTGATGATTTTCTTCTCACTGGTCCGTTTCTTCTTTACCTTCTATATTTTATCATCTGCTGTCAGTTTTTTTTTGTCCTTTTTGTTTGAATGTGTTTTTACTGTGAAGCACTTTAAGCTATTTCTCTTGTATAAAAAAGTGCCCTGTAAATAAGTTTATCATTATTTTAAATGTGTGTGTTTTGCTGTTGTCATGTAACAGGTGTTCTACAAGGACGACCTGAACTGGATGAAGGGGATGGGCTGCTACGCCTGGGACACACCTGAGATCATTCGTGCCAAGAAGTCGTACGATCTGCAGAGCGAAGTGAGTAACAGCAGAGAGCATCGTGGGACATCAGTAGAAATGTTCAGGTTTATTCTTCAGAAACATTTTAATGCTTCAGTTTGTGACACTGTGATAACGTGCCTGTGTGATATCTTCACTCACAGCTCAAATACAGAGAGGACGCCAAGAAGGAATTCAACAACTACTCCATTGTGACCGACACCCCGGCTTATGTGACGGCTGTGCTGGGCCACACCTGGGCCAGCGATGTGAGTCAGCTGCACTTTTACAAACACACATACACAGTGTTTGAGTTTAAACTATCCAAACTGAGTGCATTAATGAAACACCTGTCATTAACAGCTCAACTACAGGGAGGCTTATCACAAAGAGAAGCACATGTACACCACCGTCCTGGACACCCACGACTACGCCAGGTGCCACAACTTCAAGGAATTCTTCAGCAACGTGAGTTCAGGAAAAGTTTTCAGTCGATTAAAGATCTGTAGACGGCACGTTCACATGAACATGTTGATAATATCTTGTTTCTGTCAACAGAAAAACTACACCTCCACCTGGGACAAAATCAAAGCCAACAGCTACACGATTCCACACGACTCCCACTCCCTGCAGCACGCCAAGCAGCAGAAGGTCATCCTCAGCAACGTGAGTTTAACTTCCTGCTCATCTCGCTCCATCTTATCCCTGTGTTTTCTTTATGTGTGACCTTTCACCTCTAAGAGACAAAGTGAATCCTGTCGCCCCTGCAGGTGAAGTACAAGGAGGATTATGAGAAGTTCAAATCCCTCTACAGTCTGCCGAAGTCTCTGGAGGACGATCCCTCCACTGCTCGCTGCGTCAAAGCTGGAAAGCTGGTCCTGGATGTGAGTTCAGTTTGTTTCACCCTTTCATCTCCCACCAGTCTGCAGGTTATGTGCACACAACACATGTTACACACACACACCTGTCATCTGTCTTTAACAGCGTCTGTACCACGAGAACTACGAGAAGACCAAGGCCAAGAACCACATCCCACCAGACATGCTGGAGATCGTGGCCGGACGCAACACCCAGAACACCGTCAGCATGATCAACTACCGCAAGTACCTGCACCAGTGGATCTGCCTCCCCGACATGCAGGTGTATGTCCAGGCACGCAAGGTCAACGAGCAGCTCAGTGACGTGAGTACCTGCCGTCAGCTGCACGTTCTCTGCTCGTGATTGTTATTAAAACTATACTGTCTTTTTAACGTGCTTTTTTATTAAAGCATCTGATACAGTTCAAGATAACAACATTATGTCTTCAGCCAGTTACCAGCTGTCTTCATATTTTAGTTCTATAGATACATTGAACATTTGAGGAACAGCAATAAGTTCGTGTTTAACAAATGAGACAAAAGAAGATGAAATTCAAAAAGAGTAGAAAGCTTCAATTGGTGTGTGTTTTCTAGTTCTAGCCCAAAAAATCCAAAAAGGGTGAGATTTTAATCAACTGAAAAACAGTGTTACTTTTGACAGCAGTGTTAGATTTAGTCTTAGACCAAAGTGTTTTTTTAGTTTCAGTTACATTTTACTCATTTTTTATCTTTAGACTAATCCAGTGAGGCTATTTCCTGTTTCAGAAATAAGAATTAAGGTGACAGGTTGTATAAATATTCATCAGCTGTGAAGTCTGGCGGCCGGTGGCTGCTCGCTCCGCTGCCGTTCAGCGGCTGGTGAAACATCCTGGTGCAGACTATTTACTGGAGTTTACCAGCCTGTCGCTCATGCTGCATTTGAAGATATTGCAAGCTTTCAGTGTCCGACAGACCACTGCTAACATTTTCATAAAGTCTCGTCAACGAAAATCAAACATAAATTTTGTCTTAGTTTTTATTATCAGGATTTATTTTTAGCTCGTCATCGTCTTGTTTTCCTCATGAAAACAAAAGGTTGTTGATAAAATGTGTTTGTCATAGTTTTCATCCGTGAAATGAGCACTGCTGAAAAACAAGCACATCTGCCAAAGTCACTGAATCTGTGTGTTGTGTTCTCTTCTCAGATCTTCTACAAGGACGACCTGAACTACCTGAGGGGTATCGGCTGCTTCGCCTGGGACACACCTGAGATCCTCCGTGTCAAACATGCTGGTGACCTTCAGAGTGAGGTCAGTGTTCCCAGAATATATTCATTCCTGTGCTGCTCCTCTGTTTCACATCCTCGTCAGTTATTGGGTTTAAATCTTCCAGTTAATCTGCCGCTGTTCTTCCATTAAGTCCTCCACAGGCTCATGTTACCTGGTGTTTAATCTGAGGTGATGCTGATCGCTGTGTCTCTGTTTCTTTATTCCAGAACAAGTACAGAGCCAAAGGTATCGAGGCTTTCAAGGAGTACTCAGTGGTGACGGACACTCCGGTTTACGAGACGGCCAAGCAGAACTCTCAGAACCTGAGCGATGTAAGTCATGTTCCCAACAGTGTTCACTTATCGTCTTTATTTTATTACGTAACAAAAACGCATGATCTCATCTTTTCCTTCTCTTCTTCCAGCTGCACTACCGCTACGATTACAACGTCAACATCAAGGGCACCAACACTGCTCCTCCTGTTACTGTGGACACAGAGAGGGCACGCCTGGCGAACTACATCCAGAGTGATGTAAGATGATATCCCTAAATATTAACTGTACCTGTACAACATATCTACTGTAGGAAGTTTTGCTTATTTCTTTTTTAATGCTTGAGAGAAGGAGGCTTTTTTTACGAGTCAGATTCTGGTCAAAGATTAAAGCCATGTTTCCTGTGGAGGGTTTGACACTGGTAGACCTGAGGGCCGATGCAGGTTTTCACGTCTGAGACAAAGTTATCAGGACCTCAGTTTTGTCGGAGTTTAGCTGAAGAAGCTCAAGTGACATCAGTTCCTTAACAGCAGCCAGGCAGTGATGGAGGGCAGCGATGACACACACATGTCAGAGTGTCATCAGCGTAGCAGCGATCATAATTCATAATTCAGTTTTCTGCAGAATTTTGACCTCATTTTGTTCAGTCAGGGTGTTTTAGCTTTCACACGATCATAGACAACCTGGAAAAGTTATGGAATCTCACAGTCAATTTTTCCAGGCCTGGAAAAGTCACAAATTAGTAAAACATAATTGAAAGTTTGGGAAAAGTCCTGGAATTTTGTTGTGTGTAATGAACTTGTTCCAGTAACCTTCTGTGGATGACCTTCCACATAATCTAACGTAAAGGCAAATCTATTTTCTGTAGCTGTCGACATAATGGAGCTCAAACATGTGTCGTAGTGTGACATCATGTCGTTGACCATCATGTATGTTTCTCTGTTTTCTCCGTGCAGTCTGTCTCTCCCTTCATGTCTGAATCTGACATGTTTGAAAATGTTGGGCAAGAAAAACAATGTTATTATGGAAAAGTTTTGAAATGTTGTTCATGAAGAACGTTCATGTTTGAACCGTGATGTTTGCGTGCGTACACACTGTGTGTTCTTCAGTCTGAACTGATCCTGTCTCACTCTGTTGTCCTCTCTCAGAACTGGTACAAGGAGGCCAACAAGAGCTTCATGCCGACTGGTTACTCCCTGCCCCACGACACCCCGCTCATCAAACAGGCCAAGCTGAACAGCGTCATCAACAGCAACGTGAGTACTGTCACTGTCTCCACTCATCCAGCTGAACCCTTCTTCACACAGCAATTCAAGCTTTTAGCCAGTGCGGGTTTGACGTTGCTGAATCATGTGGTTTTGCTTTTGTCCCGTCAGGTGAAGTACAAGGAGGCGTACGAGATGACGAAGGCGAAGGCCTACACTCTCCATCCAGAGGGCGTCAACTTTGTCAACTCAAGGAAGGCTCACAAGATCGTCAACGATGTACGATGACACACAGCTGCTATTGATATGAGACACATCAGTGACACTTTGCTGGGTAAAATAAATACATTGGTCTGTTTCCTTCCTCAGCGTCTGTACAGAGAGGACTACCACAAACACAAGGACAAGATCCACACAACCTACGACACCCCCGATATCAAACAAGTCAAGATGAACCAGTCCAACCTCAGCGACGTACGGCACCAGCCTCACACACTTTGTATTGTTCATTGTTCTGTATTTGTTCATGTAGCTTGAGTTTAATACGCCACCTTTTTGTTCCCCTCTCGTCTCAGTTGTGCTACAAAGAGAAATACTACAACAGCAGAGGTCAGCTGATCTCTATGCCTATCACTCCCGAGCTGATGCACTGCGCCCACGTCAATGAGATCACCAGCGAGGTAACTCAGAGTCTGACAGAGAGATTACAACATTAACTTCATCACAAATGTTCACTCCAGTCATTTTGTGTTCTCAGCTGAAATACAAAGAGGACCTGACCTGGCTCAGAGGCCTCGGCTGCTTCCTGTACGACACCCCAGAGATGATCACCGTCCGCAACATCACCAAACAGAGAGTATGTGTTTCAGTCAGGACAGAATATACCTGCACATCATTATCAGTCATGTTCAGTCACTGTCAGCTTCCTGCAGTGACATCACAGTCACCTGTGTGACTTCCTGTCTCCTACAGCTGACCTACCCAGTGGAGGCAAAGAAGAACCTCGCCAACTTCTCCGTGGTCCTGGACACGCCTGAGTATAAACGTGTGACTGAGCTGAAGAGCCACATGAGCAACGTGAGTGATTTTCCCCACACACACTTCATCACACTGTATGAATGGTCTCACAGTGACTGAGTTTGATTTGACTTTTCCTGCCTGTTTATTCTCAGCTGATCTACAAAGCCCAGAGTAAGGAGGAGATGGCCAAGGTCACCACCACTGTGGACTCAGTGGACATCACCAGAGCCAAATGGGCCCAGCAGCTGACCAACAAGGTGAGTTCAGACACTCTGTCACCCACTGACTGAATCTGATCATTATCTGTTTGTCTGCAGTACCTGTACACTGATCTGATAATCTAACCACTGTGTGTGTGTGTGTGTGTGTGTGTGTGTGTCCACAGTACCTGTACACTGACCTGGCCACTAAGGAGAGATGCCATTTCACTCCAGAAAACGAAACTCCACACATGGACCACGCCAGGAAAATGAAGGTCATCTACAGTGATGTAAGTCCTCCCTTCATCATTTCCTCTTCATCTTGGTTTCCTTGCTGCTGTTGTAGCTTCATAACTTCTCACCACTGTAGAAGTTGAATAAGTATGTCCCAACAGTCTCACTAGAAATGCTGTCAGTTACCAGATGAATGTAAAAACTGTTTCCTGACATGTTGTATGAACTCTGTCCTGCCTCAGAACAAATACAAAGACCAGTATGAGAAGATGAAGCACAGATACACCGCCATCGCCGACACTCCACTCCTGATCCGGGCCAAGAAATCCTACCTGCAGTCCAGTGATGTGAGTACGCTCAACGTCTGATCTTCATCACAAACAGTCATCGTCATATCAGTGCCATGTTTATATGTGTAATTATTTGTAGTTTTCCCTCTGACTCTGCTGCTCAGCCTTCCCTTCAGCAGTAAACCTCTCAGAGGTCGACAGATTCTTTATAGACATTTTAATTAATAATCACACATCACTGCAGACATGTGAGGTTCACCTTTGAATAATAATGATGATGACGTGTGTGTGTGTGTGTGTGTGTGTGTTTGATGAAACTCTGACACAGTTTGTTCTTCCTGTCTTCAGCTGCGTTACAAAGAGACCTTCGAGCTGTCTAAGGGACACTACCGCACAGTGAAGGACGCTCTGGACATCGTCTACCACCGCAGAGTCACTGATGACATCAGCGAGGTCAGCAGATCAGCTGATTGATTATTTGTTGTAAACATCTTTGCATGCTCATAATCAGACGTTAAGATCATTTTGACTTCCTGTTTGTTTCTCTGTGCGTCAGGTTAAATACAGAGAGAAGTACATCACCTCTCTGGGGACGTGGAAGTCCATCCCCGATCGTCCTGAGTTCTTCTTCAGCAAGATTGTCAACGACAACGTCAGCAACGTGAGTACAGTTCATTCAGATGATGCACGCTGTGTGAGACAGGAGGGCGGATAGAGTCACTGACACACTGTGTGACATCTATGTTAAATCCCTCTGCAGGTGAAGTACAAGGAGGACCTGGAGTGGCTGAGGGGTCTCGGCTGCTTCGTGTGGGACACACCTGACCTGGTGATGGCTGAGAGGAACAAGGCGCTGTACAGCGAGGTGAAGGATCTGTTGATGTCACACTTTGTCACCTGTAGTGTCATCTGATAAAATGATGTAGTGGTGCTGGCAGGATTATTTCAAGCTGTATGTGAGGGCCACCTGCTACACACTCACACACTGATGATACAGCCATCAGGAGCAGTCTGAGGTTCAGTATCTGCCCAAAGATACATCGACACGCAGACTAGAGGAGCCGGGGATCGAACCAACGATCTGATCAGTGGACATTGTGCACTTATTAGGAGAGCTTACATCCAACCCTGCGCGTCCTGTCAAGAGACACCAACACGTCATGACGACTTATTGACTTCCTGTTCTTAGCCAGATTCATCTGTAGAAAACACTGTACTGTATGTGATGTTTAAGATTCAGATGATTTCCTATGTTGAAGGTTCTTTAATGGAGCCGTGTGTTTCTCTGCATGTTCCTGATCTCAGTTTGATCTCTTTGTGACAGAGAGTGTACAAATCCTCCTTTGAGAAGAACAGAGGCAACTTCAAGTACACCAGCGACACTCCATTCTTCCAGGCTGCCAAATATGCTTCCTCCATCATCAACGATGTGAGTCCCTTCACCCTTTCAGCCCACACAGTACCAAGAAACACTGTTATTATCATTAGACTGTGAAGTCGACACTTTAATCACATCTCTCTGTCTTTGGTGCGTCTCTGTTGGACTCTCAGCTCTGAGGTAACTGTAGTATTTATGACCTGATCTTTTTATTAAGTGTATAAAATGTCTCCTTCTCATCGACTTGTTTATTAACCGTCCTTTGTGTCCTGGAGAAGTTTCGTCACATGTGGCTGCATGTTGTTTTCTGGACGTTTGTCTTTAACTTCCCTCTGACATTCTGAGCAGAGATCCTACAGAGCTGCTTATGAGAAAACCAAGGATAAGTTCACCGTAACTACCGATGATCCTAGATACGTCCTGGCCAGGGAGAACAACAAGATGAGCCAGGTAAACGCCCCGGCTGTGCTGAACAACCGGCCTGCTACGTCCGCTGCTACCTTCAGTCCGGCCCTCCAGACCTCTCACACTGGTGCATGAGGCCGTCGACAGACCTGCTGCTGGTCGTCGATACGTTTCTCTTCTTGTCTGTACCTCGTGCTGTCTCTTTCTTTTAGGGTCGCTGTAAACAGTGCCACTTACAGAACAGCTGCTGTCTTGAGTGAGCAGGACTCTCCTTCATCTGTGCCGTCAGCGAGACAGTTCAATCTGTCCTGGTTAAACTGGACTCATTAGATGGAAGCTGAGCAGCACTTCCTGTCAGTCTGAAGGCACAGATGAAGGACAAACAGCTCCTCCGTCACACTTGGATCTCCGGAGTCCTTCTCCAGTCCTCCCAGTGTCACTGCTGTTTATCATGTGTCCTCAACTATGGCATGCTGTGTGTGTGTGTGTGTGTGTGTGTGTGTGTGTGTGTGTGGACAGGTGAGGTATAAATCCAGAGCAAAGGATCTGCTAAGGATTGGTTGCAATGAGCTGCACCGTCCCGACATCCTCACAGCCCTTTTCCAGTCCTCTATGACCAGTAAGGTAAACCTCCCAGAGTGGTGACCGCTGGTCGCTCCGTCCACAAACCAGCAGAACAAACGTCTCACTTTGTTCATCTGTTCTGTTTGTGGACACGTCATTAAACCCACTCTAACTCCTGAAGGACTTTAACTGCCACACATTCGTCCCTTCACTTTCATCCTCTAATCCATCCATTACCTGTTCACTTCTTCATCCTCATCTCATCCATCAGTGAACCTTTAACTCATCTAAAAATGCAGTGCAGCAGACGGACGGATCGACCTATCGTCTGCTCCAGTCTGTTGGTGGCAGGAATGTTTAACAAGCCAGTAAAGTTAGCAAGTGCCAGCATGGTTATCCACAGCTGCCTGGACAGTGCACGGTTGTGTCACTCTGTGGGCCTGCACATTTTAAACTACTTTAAAAGAGTCATGGAAATGGAATAAAATACTGTGGAAACCTTAGGGAAACATTTTGAAGATTCATTAGTTAATATGTGAGAAACGCTGATAAATTGATGTCAGATTATGAGGCGATTAATTTATTAGTTGATGACTAATGAACAAATCTTTGCAGCTTTAGTTACAACATTACAGCAGATATTTATCTGGATGTTAATCACCCACTGACTGTTTTCTACCCATAAGACATTTTTTATTATTTAACATTTACTGTCTCCTGAGTAAAGCTCATCTTTAGCAAAGCCCCTGTATATACGTACACCAGCTTCAGATTCAGTGAGCGGTAGAATCAGCTGGTCATCGTGATGAGCTGCGTGGGCACTGCAGACTGTAACGGTGGTAACGTGTCATCATCCTCATCTTCACCTGGAACATAACTGCATGTTTTTAAAAACTCTGCATGGCTGCACTTCACTCATTCTGTGTGAAAGGTGACATCATCCATGTTAGTCTGTTGTCATACTGCCAGAGATCTGTCCAAGAAATACAGGAACAGGAAATGTGTTTCCTTTGACACCTGAGCTTTATTAGGTAATAACAGAAAATGATTTAAAGTCAAATGACCGTCTGAATTGACATCACTGGATGCTGAAAGGTGACGTCTTGTCCGTCACTGTCTCTCCTACTGAAATGATCTTTTCTGGAGCACTCCAATGACTCCTTTAAAGAATCAGTTCGTCCCTTTTCTTGGATAATTTCTGTCTGTAGCTGCATGAATTCAAATCAAGACACACTGTCAGAATACACACTAATAAAAGCAGATTATTACCGTGTCAAACTGATTACGAGTGGCACTAACTTTCTCTTTGTTCACACGTCACCATCCTCCTTCAGTGGAGGTACAGGGAGCAGTATGAACGTGCCAAAGACAAGTTCACCTCCGTTCTGGAGACTCCAGAGTACGAGGCCCACAGACGCAGCAAGAAGATCGGCGATGTGAGTTTCTGACTTTGTCCAGTGAGTCCCTCATGATTTGTGTTTGGTGTCTTTTGATTGGCTCCTGACTCTGACGGTTGTTCCTCAGATCATCTACAAGATGGAGTACAACAAGACCAAGGCGAAGGCATACACCCTGCCTTATGACACTCCTCACCAGCAGCACATGAAGAAGGTCAAAGACATCACCAGTAATGTAAGTCTCCCTCTCACACCAGCTGCACTTTGGTTTTTACATAAAGGAATAAGAAGCTGACGTTTGTGTTTTTTTTCTGCATCTCACAGCTGAAGTACAAAGAGGTGTACGAGAAGTGTAAGGCCCAGATCAACATGGACCCTGAGGCTCACTCCATCCGTGCTGCCAAGGAGGCCTACAAGAACATCAGCAACGTGAGTGTCTTTCATGGAATCAGGAAATACAGGCGCGAGGGGAAGTGGGAGATTTTTCTTTCTGCAAAGCAATCACATTTTTGAGTGGTTTTAAAAATCTACACAAACATCAGAGCTGGTGAAAACTGCAAAGTTGTGCAGTGATTGAGCTCAGGCGTGGTCAGGCGTGGTCAGCAGGCTCTGTGTATGCTGTACGTTGGGACATAGTCTCTTTGATAGTCCTGAAGTTAGGGATGCATATTTTCCCATCAATTTGAACATATTTTTAATTAGCTTTCAGTGGCTCCGTCCTGCTGAAAGTCAGCCATTTTGATTTTTTTATTTTAATTTTTAACTTGTTTTTAATCCCCTTAATCAGATTTATTTATTTATTAAGACTTTAACAAAGAAAAATTTTCTAAACTGTTTGAGATCCACGTCGTGTCAGTATTGAGTCACAGCTACAGCACCTCCTGCTAACACCAGGACGTCCGGCTGATGTGACAAAGATCATCTGTCTGCACATGATACATAGCAACATGACGTGGACACAGGAAGTGTTACAAAATTTGCACTGAGACATCTCCAGTGCCAAATTATCCACGTTGGAAATAACTTCTGGGGCGTCGGTGGCTTAGTGGTAGAGCAGGCGCCCCATGTACAAGGCTGTTGCCGCAGTGGCCTGGGCTCGAGTCCAGCCTGTGGCCCTTTGCTGCATGTCATCCCCTCTCTCTCTCCCCCTTTCACACTTACCTGTCCTGTCCATTAAAGGCAAAAAATGCCCAAAAAAAATCTTAAAAAAAAAGAAATAACTTCTGAGTCAAGCGCGCAGTGTCTGATGGCGTCCTGTCAGCCCCCCCGACCTACCCGTTCATCGCTGCCTGCAGCTTAAATTATTGATTAAAGTTGAACTCAAAATAGCTGAAAATATTAATCTGATATTTGATTTTTTTGTTTTTTGTTTATAGCTTGACTACAAGAAGAAGTATGAAGCCACCAAGAACAAGTGGATCTGGACAGCAGACAGACCCGACTTTGTGAATGCTGCTAAGAACTCCCTTCAACAGAGTGATGTGAGTCGGTGCTGCTTCTTTTTCTTTAGGTTTTTAAATATATTTCTAGTTCTACAGTTTTGAACTCACCGTGCACCTGTTGTTTCCTCCACAGGTTGAGTACAAGTATGACAAGGAGGTGATGAAGGGCTGTGTGATTCCCGTGGTTGATGACAAGCTGACCGTCCTGGCCATGAAAAATGCTGAAATGGCCAGCATTGTAAGTTTGTCCACGTCTGTCTGACCTTTTGTTTGATGATGTAATATTACCAGAGGGCAGTGAGCTTAGAAACCTTAAATTAAACTTCAGACCTGACTGTGTGACACGTTGTAAACTAATCCTGTATGTGCTGCTGCCGTCCAGGTGAAGTACAAAGACAAGTATGAGAAGGCAAAGGGCCACTACATCCCCGTCCAGGACACGCCTCAGATCCTTCACGCCAAGGCTGTGCGCACTCTGGCGTCAGAGGTGAGAGTCAGTCAGGAAAAGAATCAGATGTATTAAACTATACAGCTGCTTTTATGACTTCACCTCTACACGTGTTTCTTCATTTTCATCCTCAGACCAAATACAAGGAGGCCAGTAAGAAGGAGATGCAGTCGGGCTCGTTCACCACTCTGCCCGAGACTCGTGACACGGCCCACAGCAGGAACGTCAACAAGCTCGTCAGCAAGGTACGACTGTCGATCTCAGCTCAGTCGCATGAACCCTGGACTGTGTCTGTGCTGTTCGCTCTGACATTTCTCTCTCTGTCTGCACAGACCGTGTACAAAGCCAAGTTTGAGAAGGAAAAGGGCAAGTCAATATATAACCACATGATTGTTCCACCTGATGTTCAGCACGCCATGGGAGTGGCCAAGACTCAGAGCAGCGTGAGTCGTCTCCACCATTGTTACTAAAATGTGGTTATATTGATTTAACTGACAGCACACAGTCTCCATGTTGGGAAGGTTTCACCGCCTCTGATGTTTCTCTGTTGCTGTGTTTGTGGTACATCCTGTACTCTGTCTCCTCCTCTGCCCGACACCACAGGTGGCCTACAAGAAAGACGCCAAGGCCAACCTGCACTACACCACTGTGGTCGACCGTCCTGACATAAAGAAGGCCACCCAGGCCTCCAAACTCATCAGTGGGGTAATCAGCAGAACAGAAAACCCATCAGCACAGTGCACAGTGTTCAACAATCAGCCTCCCTGTAAAGCCTCATTATAAGTTCAATTCAGAAGCTACAGGGACTTTTACTTGGTTAAAGGAGGGTCAGTGAAATAACTGAGCTGCATTTAATTCCCCTCTGACACCAGCAAAAGAAAACACTGAAAGAAAACTCAAATACTATCATCCCCCTCCTCACATGACAATACAGGACAGATAGATTAAAAAGGTAACTGGAGGAATCTTCACTTTAATAATGATCCTCTTCCCCTCCTTGATGAAAGTGACCAGAACGAGGAAAGAAATGTTTAATGTCCACACTTTCAAATGTAAAAATAGAAACCAGGAAAAATATATAAAAAGGACTCAAACTCAGCAGGGTGGGATCAGGAAGAGAAATAATCTGGACTTAACTTGTTTGTGTGCTCCGTCTGTACGGTCCCTCACACACCCTGGTCACACTGCTGCCCCCTCACAACCAGAGATGAACACCAGTGAACACCAGTAAACACCAGTTCTAGAGTTTGTACGTGCTTCACTGATTCTTCTTCTTGTCTCCGTCAGATCGGCTACCGTGACAAGGCCCGTGAGGAGGCCAGCCGTGGAGGCTCTCTGGTCCACCGCCCAGACATCACTCTGGCCACTGAGGTGTCCAAGCTCACCAGCCAGGTACACTGAACCAACCAACCAGTCACCTGTCTCATGACGCTCTGGGACAGTCGAGCTGCTTTGACACTGGTTCCCTGCAGTTACCGTCTCATAGAACATGTTTTATCATCATCATCATCATCAGTCAGTGGAAGCTGTTTTACTCCCACAGAGATCTTGTGTGCTGGTCTCACTGTCAGACCAGCTCCCCTGAGTTAATGTTTGCAGACCAGTGTTGCTGTGTAGATGCTTAGCAGCAGTCCTTCAGGCCTAACAATGAAACCAGCAGCTCCTCATAGTGCTTCCTCTGCCACCCATGTCTCAGTCTGTCGCTGCGACTCCATCAAAGTTCATTTACATGTTTTAACTGCTAATGTCATTGTACATGTCCCCATCCTTAAACCTACACTGCTCCATCCTCCTCCTCTCCTCCTCCTCCTCCTCCTCCTCCTCCTCCTCCTCCTCCTCTGTCCTCTTCCATGATGTCCCAGTCTGTGTGTTCTCATCCCTCCATCTCACTGCGCTTTGTAGGTGGACGCCAAGCGCTCCCTCCACGGAGCAGCTTCCTATGATACGCCCCAGATGCGCCACATTAAGAAAATGAGTGCCGTGACTAGTGATGTAAGGAGGTTCACGCCCTGACACTGAAGCTGTCTGTCTCCTCTGTCCTTCTGTCCTCTTCCTGTCCATCTGTTGATTTGTGATTTCACTGCAGGGTACCTCTCTGTTGTAGCATTGTGTGCACCCTCTGCTCTGTAGTGTCCCTGACAGGCTGTGGCTCACTGCTGGGCATAGACAAGCCTTCCTGCATGCTCTCCTGCTGATACTCTGTGTTTCAACATTTTCTCCTGAGTCACTCAGACAGTGAACCTTTACCAGCTTGCACCTGACTTCCTCTGTAGACCCGTGTCTTATAGACACTATGGAGCTTCTTCCTGTCGATGTGACACCAGAGGGCAGTGTAGACTTTCTAAAGATGTTACCACAGCAAACAAATTCACTATAAATGTTTATTTTTCAGAGATATTTTAAGGATATCACTTTGTCTCTCTTAAACTGAATGATCCAAACCAGGCTGCCTCTGAAACACCACCATGGTCACACTTACCTGTCTCTTCCATATATACTTTCATATATATGAAGTTTATGTTCTGGTTATTTAAATGTTCACGCTTGGCACTAAGAGTCATCGTAGTGCTCAGATCAGAGGATCAATTAGGATTTACATCAGATGCCTTCTAATGTCAAGTGTGAACTACGATCCAGTCACCAGAGGAAATGTCTGCACTGTATGTTTCTGCAAACCACATGTACTTTACATTTCTAAGTTACTACCATGTATCCTCTACTATATTATCAGTGCGGTGGATAACGTGTGGTCAGATTTAGTCACAAAAGACATTTGGTAATGGTTGGGAAAAGATCATGGTGGGTTTGAAACATTCTGTTTTCTGGGCATCATCCCGGCTGGAAATGCAGCGACATCATGGTTAAAAAGGTCTGGTCTCGTGGCACTAATCCATCTGGAGATGCAGCAATGTCTCAGTAAAAGAACAGCTGTTTTTCTGGGCGCCATCCCGGCTGGAAATGCAGTGATGTCTTTGTAAAAGCAGCCACCCTTGTGGCACTGTCATCAGTGAAAACAAAGGGACACTCATGTTTGGTGGATGGTAAATGCTGTAAATGCAGCTATGACCGGTTTTGTTGTTTGTTGGTTTGAACAGGTTGTTGGTCTGCAGCTTGGCAGACATCTAGCTGAGGTGACACGCCATCCACCATCTCTTCCACCTCCTGATGTGTATGAGGCAGCTCAGATACTTTGTGACTTTAGAAACATTCATAAGCAACGTATGAATCAAACAGATGTATCAGTGGTTTGCAGAAACGCACAGTTTACATTTATTCTGGCGACCAGGGCGGTAACGTAGCTCAGCTGGATCCCAGCACATACTGGATACGTCTTGGTGCGAGGCACTCGGTCTGACCAGTGTTGTAGGGCGTCTCCACAGCTGACCTGTTTGGTTTGGACCCTGATGGGACTGATATTATGACGTGTCTGGAGTCGTTTGTGATCAAACACAGAGACCTGTGAGCAATAAAATACAAAGCCTGGAACCAAACTGCAGATGTGAACACACCCACAGACACACCGTCTCTGCCCTTTGATTTGACTGCTAAATGAAAAAGAGGAAACAAACCGATGCATGAGGAAATCACTTTATAGGATCCACAGTTGTTTTTGTTGTATAACAAGGGATGCAAACTGAATCTGAGGTTTAATATCTGAGAAGCATTCCTAGTATGACATTTAAACCAAACTATCCCTGAGAGTCTCTCGTCCCTTTTTATACAACACAAGAAGCATTATGTCGTCTTTCACGTTTCCAGTGGGATGGCGTCTGTGAATCTTCCACTGTTCATTTGTCACCAGTACTGCTGCTGCTAACTGTCACATGTGTCCTGCCCACACAGCTGAAGTACAAGGAGAAGTTTGATAAGGAGATGAAAGGAAAGAAGCCACAATATGACCTGAAGGACAGTAAGATTTACAAGACTCTGAAGGATGCCAGTGTGCTGGCTAGTGAGGTAGGTGAGAGCCGGCATCGTTTCCCTCTGACAGCAAACACCACCTCATTCTGTCAGCCGCCTGTCAACACACACACACACACACACACACACGCGCGCGCACACACACGCACACACTAGGCTACGATAACAGCTCCTCACACACTTAATGAACACTTATCCAAGGAGGTTCGATGGAGGTCAGCTCACCCTCAGTTTGGAGAAGCAGACAGGATGATCGTCACTGAAGCAGAGTGATGAACAGCTGTGGACGGGGCAGCAACAAAACAAATATTAGCCACTTGAAAAACAGTATCAGCCTAAGTGTACGCTATCATGCAAATATTTTCACCACTTTACCTTTCTGTCAGACAGGAAGTCATCAACAGCTTCAGTTCCACATCCAGTCTTTTGACAAATCCACCAGACTCCATTTACAAAAACAGTCATTTCACCTCATTGAAGACGGGAGCTGCTGGACCACGCTGCCTCCAGGGTTCACACTGACCCTTATTAAGTCTTAAAAGGCATTAAATACGTGAATCTAAAATCAGGCCTTGGTATTAAAATGTCTTAAAGTCCTTAAAGTGCTCAGACATGGGAAGTTGCTTTTTGAAAACTCAAAAATAATTGGTAACTTCTAAAACAAAGAAAAATAATTTACTGAATGTCTTTTGCATCAACATCACTGACTAGTAATGTTTTTGGGCGCCCGGTGGATCAGTGGGTTGAGCAAGTGTCCCATATACAAAGGCTGTGTCCTTTCTGCTGCAGCCGTGGGCACACACAAGACTGCCTCTGCTTTTCAAAATAAGGAAATAAGGTCTAAATAGAATAAACAAGTACAAGTAGATGAATACAAAATACATGTGGAAATATGATTATCTGGATTATAAAACTGTATAAACTGTGCTCCACTCGTTGCTCAGCACTCCTGCCTGCTTCTCCAAACTGTGCTGACTGAACTCTGCTGGATGTAACACACTGACTGTGGTTAAAGACCTCATACAGCCCACTTCAAAACATCCAAACTGTCCCTTTAACACCAAAACTAACTCCTTCATTGAGTAAAAGAGTTGATATCCAGATCTGTGATAATCATATGTCATCACCTGCAGGTGAAGTACAAAGGTGACCTGAAGAAGATCCACAAGCCTGTGACCGACATGGCCGAGTCTCTGTCCATGCAGCACAGCCTGAGCACCAGCAAACTGTCCAGCGACGTAAGACACCATCTTCATCATCATCATCATCATCATCATCATCATCATCATCATCATCATAACCCTCTCACACCCCACCCAGGAGGCTGCTGGGAGTCAGTTCACTTTCAGTGGTTCATTGAAACGTGTCTGAATTCAGCGTCTCCGTCACCTCACGTTAACGTCCTGCAGATTATTCACCATCTCATCCACACATCCTTCACTCCGTCACCTCACATTAACGTCCTGCAGATTATTCACCATCTCATCCACACATCCTTCACTCTGTCACCTCATGTGGTAGTGACCCTGACCCCTCTCACCTTTGACCTCCTCAGTTTGATTTATTTCCTCGTGTAGTTCAAACAAAACTTTATTAATGATCACGTAACACAGAACTCTTCCATTGATTAAAGATCATGTTCATACGGTTTATAACGGCCATTTTTAATTTCCGCTCATGTCATATTTATTGACATTGCTCAGAGCTGTTTGATCATTAACATATATAATTAATATCAGCTGTAATAATGTTAACATCACCTTTGACCTTTTGGTACGATGTGTAATGGATGGAGTAAACTCCAGACAGACGCTCTGTTTCTGCTCTGCTGTACTGAGCTGTCTTTACTTGACTGGGAATTCCCCTGTAGTACTGCTACAAGAAGAAATTTGAGGAGAGTAAGGGTCACTACCTTTTGATCCCTGACACACCTGAACAGCTCCATCACAAGGAGGCTACTGATCTGCAGAGCAACGTAAGTCACACAGACGCAGGAGAGGTCGACAAACACTCCACCCACCCTGAAAACACCTCTGTGGGTTTCAACTGTCCAACACTTCACTGCCAAACACATGTGTCTGCTGTAATGAATGAATGAATGAATTTTTATGATTGTGTCACGCCCAGCCCGCATGGCCTCACAAGATACCATAAGCTTGGTCCAGGGTCAGAGTCCAGCAGACAGACATTCAGATGCATTAAAAAGACAAAGCAGCAGAAACATGAGGTCATGATGAGGTCATCAGTTTGTGAATCACTCATAAAGACATTTATTATGTAAAACTGAAAAGAGAGCTTAATTAAACTTCTCTTCCAGACTTTACAGCAACACTGTCAAACTTAAAGAGGCAACAGATAGGATTTGTTTTTTTTAGCTTGGCGCCACCTAGCGTCAGTGGTGTTGCGTTGCACTGTGGCAACGACCAAATTGAGCGTGGGGATCAGAGATAATGAATAAAATGTAGGCTGTAAAGCCACCAGTATACCTCTGTGTATATGTAGAATGAGAAGGTGTGTGGACACTACCAAATAAATGAGTAAAGAGACCGAGCAACAATTATCCAAACTTTGTCCGTCTGCCATTGTGCTCGTGACTCAACTATCTCATGCCCAACTCCTTGTAAGGACCAGCTCCAGTCCCTGATTGGTTGACCGACCAGTTTCACAACACATGACACGTTTCCTGCTGTAAAGCAGATTTTTTCCGTGAAATTTCGCCCCCAGGGGCAGAAGCTTATTGCAAAGATTGCAAAGCCACTAAGTAACCTATGTAAACACTGATAGTCTGATTTTACTGTGGACACTACCCTGTGCAACCCACATTATTTTCATCATGATATATTTAGGAAGAGATGCTGTCTGTTGCCTATTTAAACATCAAACTGAACCACTTTTGGTCATCTGAGCACCAGAACATGTCATGGTGTACACACAACATTCACTCTCTTAAGTCAACAGAGTTTGTACAATATAAAATAAAATGGATCTCACATGTTCTGTTGTGAATATTGTTGAGTCACCTGATCTCAGTGTCTGGAGGAGGAACAGCAGCTCTCAGCTGTGACACTAAACATCTTTGGTTTCTAGATAAACGAGATGTTACAGATGGTTCAGGACCAAACTTCAGTTTTATCTGCACATATGTTCTTAGTTTATGACACTGACAGAATGTTTCCAAAACATTTCAGTGACAGATTTCTCTTAACAGAGTTCACACTGCAACATAAGTTATTCTGTAAATATACATCATTTATATCCACCTCCTCAGAGACTGAACAGAGACTGAACAGAGCTCTTTACAAAGCTTGATGTTGTATCTATATCTTGTTTCCTGCACTGACAGGAGGATGGTGTCAGTGTTTTAGACTTTTGAAATCAGCAGTAGCAGTTCTGATGCTCGCTGTGATGGATGACACAGTTTTTATCTGTTCTCCTAGTGAACTGCAATAAATACAAACCTGCATATGACAAAGTGTAAATATTCTGTATAATAAATGTCAGACTGCGTGTTGAAGACATTTCACATCACAATATAAGAATCATTTGTTAACATTATATCTGTGTGTGCTGTGCAGGTGAAATATAAGGAGAAGTATGAGAGGGAGAAGGGTAAACCCATGCTGGACTTTGAGACACCAACATATGTGACGGCTAAGGAGGCGCAGCACATGCAGAGCCAGGTAAATACACCTTCAGCCTCCTGTGTGCTCACAGTGGATGGAAGAACCTCAGTGCCTGCTGTATAGTCATATATTAACCTGTACTGTGATGACTCTGGGTACATGACGATGATACGCTGCAGCTTGTTGGATGTTCAGCTGTTTATGTCACAGAATGTTTCTGAAGTTTGGAGAAACCTTTTACACGCCTTTAACGCCAGTTCATTATATCAAGACTATTCATCAGGCACAGTATCTTATAAAACGTTTCATACTACAGAGCCTGTTTCTGCCTGGTCTTTACATGTGTGTCAGTGATCCAATAACAAGTGGACGGCCGAGGCCGAGGCACGTCTCCGTTTTGTGTCTGTCATGCAACTCCAGAATTTCAGTCAGTCATACCTTGAAAAAAACTCTTTTTTATTTAGATATACACATCCCCCTTTCTCTTCTTGTCCTTCTCCAGGTACAAAATGTGTTCCTCATGTTTTATATTCTTGTATGATTATTGAATATAGATAAATAAAGTAAAAAGCTGTGTCAGTAGAGCTGGAGATATCGCTGTCAGCAGAATTCAGCACGCCATTGCCCATATGGCAAAATGGCGGATGGTCACAAAGCGCTTCGTCCAACTCATCATTAAATGAGCAAGTTACAGAGTAAGTCACCAAAACAACCACCACGTCCTGCTTTGATGACGCATCAGGACATATTAGTGTTTACACAACAGAAGATACGTGGTCAGACCACGTCAACACATGTCAAGTCAAGTCAAGTCAAGTCAAATTTATTTATAAAGCACATTTAAAAACAACCCAAGTTGACCAAAGTGCTGTTCAGTTAAAAATGAATAAAAGAGATACAAGTGAAGTGAAATAATAAACAGAACAAAAACAGCAACCAACATAGATCAAGGCACAAATAAACACATAGGCAACATCAGAAGGACTCTAAAGCTTTAGTAAACAGGAACATTTTTAGCCTTGATTTAAAAGAGTCGATGGAGGGGGCAAGTCTGACAGAGAGGGGGATGTTGTTCCAGAGTCTGGGCGCTGCGACCACAAAGGCACGGTCATCCCTGAGTGTAAAATAAGTGTGTGGAACAGTTAAAAGCCCTAGGTTAGCCGACCTGAGGGGTCTGGAGGTGGAGTATGGGGTTAAAAGTTCTGTCATGTAGGAAGGAGCCACTCCATTCAGGGCTTTGTATGTGAATAAAAGAAGTCTAAAATCAATACGGTGCTGCACTGGCAGCCAGTGGAGAGAGGCTAGGGGGCACCTGTCAAAGGTCTAGCGGCAGTGTTTTGTACTAGTTGTAAACGGGAGAGAGATGACTGATTCATTCCAGCGTAAAGAGAGTTGCAGTAGTCCAAGTGAGTGGAAATGAAAGCATGGATGACTTTTTCTAGGTCCTTGAAACTGAGGAATGGTTTGATTTTTGTGAGATTTTTGCAAGACTGTTGGATATCAGGTTGATGTTGTCAGAGGAGTCAGAGAGAACAATTTCGGATTTAGCTTTGTTTAGTTGAAGGAAGTTTACTGCCATCCAGGACTTTATTTCATTGATGCAGTTGAAGATTGGTGAGTTTGGATTGGTCATTTGGTTTGAGGGGAAGATAGAGCTGGGTGCCATCAGCATAGCAGTGGAAAGAGATGTCATATTTTTGAATGATTTGACCGAGGGGAAGCATGTAGATGGAGAAAAAAGAATGGGACCTAGGACTGAAACTTGTGGGACTCCACAGGAGAGAGTAGCTGGGGGTGAGGAGAGTGTGCCTATGTTTGTGTGCCTATCACACTGTGCCACTCGTACTAAGAGCTGACCACTTGTGATCAGAAGACCTGAGACACATGTTGGAGTAAACAGGCTCACAGGAAATGATCACTGTGTGTCCCTTTTATTGTCTGCTCTTTACTGGCTGGCCTGGGAGAATAAACTGGGAGAAGGCAGTGTAAAATGTGTTCACAGTAAACTTAGGCCTGGTGTATTTTTGCTCCTTGATCCTGAGTATAAGTTCAGACTGCTGATCTGACTCCAACCCTGCAGAGGTGACAAAGGTAAAGTATAATCTGAACATCTCTATGGAGCCTGGATTATAGATATTTAAAACATTTATTCTGATGATCATCGTTAAACTCCAGACTCCAAACATCAGAGTTTAAACTCCCACACTCTACAAACACACTCATGAACACACTCATGAACACGCACAAGACCTCACATTCTCAGACTGTACATACGGGGACTGGTGTCGTTATGAGGACGCTGGTGTGAATGAGGTAATGAGGTACCTGCATTGTGAAGCAGCGCTGCCTGCATGTGGTTATCTGAGCTCTGTCTTTATCTTTGCGGCCAATAGAAAGACTATAAGAAGGACTTTGAGGAGCACATGAAGGGCAAGAACCTCTCAGGCTTGGAGGTCACGCCCGCCATGATACATGTCAGAAACGCCACCAGAATAGTCAGTGAGGTAACTAAAGGACTCTTTTTAAATCCCTGACGACCTCCCCTGTTTACCTCACCTATTCTTTATAATCATACTAAGACTGTATTCCAACCATGGCCCCTCCTCCTCTTCACTACCTCTGATTTTAATCCCACGAGTGCTTCCCTCCTCCCTGACTCCTCATAGGTCCACCTGAGCAGTTAAGTTTTAGTTTGTCTGCATGATTCACTTCACCGCCCTTAACTCTGAATAATACAACAAACTGTCCTCCCCCCAAAAACAACGACCACACAGGTCATCTGTACAGCAGCTTGTTACAACCCATATCTACATTTATCGATTGGCGGCAGCCTCCAGTGGCAGCAGATATTATGACGGGAGCAAAGGAGGAAGTCAGATGATCTCGTATAAACAGCGACAAATTCCAAGTCAGGCCCACAGGAAGTGCCAAACTCTGTATTAACAACCTACGAGTCTGTCACGTGATGCCACAGGAGATGCCACATGAGAGCCACACAATTAAATCAGTTTATTCCCAATCAAGTTAGCGGAGCGCTAAACCAGAAGCTAGCCGCTTGGCTGGTGGAGTCTCTTGTGCTCCTGCTCCCTGTCACGTTACATATTTATTGTAAAGTTAAGTAGGTTAGGTTTAGTAAAAGAAACATGGTGATGACGTACCTTAAAATAACTCAAAGTTCACTTGGTTTCACACAAACACTTTACTTCTGGAGGAAAGTCCTGTGTTTGATTGACCATCCACCACCACAACCTGCTATGATAATAATAATCTTTATCCTACTTCCTTCTGTACTCCTGTCATTGCACTGGTCATGTGATCACAGCCTTCTCAATTACGTAGGTTATAAACAAACTCATGATTGCATAAGTTATGCACAAAGTCTGGCATGTTACTTTTCTTAGGTACACATACAAACAGTGCAGAGAACAGCCTGCTCATTTAGCCAGTTGTTAGCAGCTGTCTTTTTCTAGACACATAAAAGCTTCTGAATTCACAGTGGGTTATTTACTGACTTACTTATGTCGCAGAACAAAACATGAATGTCTCTTCAGCTTGTGTGAACCACAGACTTTATTTCAGACAACTCACCAAAATCCCGTTCAGAACACACATTGACTTCAAGACGAGGGAACATGCCATGCTAAAATGCTAACTCCAGGTTTTAGGACTCGTTGCTGCAGCGCTCTGTTAGAGGGTAGAAACAATGACCTGTGAGGTCGTCTGGGTCGGAGGACTTGCTGAAATGCAACGCTCATATATTTCCCTTCTCTGTTCGCAGAGCTTCTAGTTCAGTAGTTAGGATGGTTTGTATTTGTGGCATCTTGGACTCATAGTTTTAACACTCAGGAGCCAACTAACAGCTTCATGTTCAACAGTGTGTGTGCATGCAGTCATGTCAGTCAATGAGGTGAAATGATGAAATGTTCTGGTGATGTGTTTTGTTTTCACTGTATCTGATAAAATGTGTTTGACATGTCTTTTATCAGGATTCTTGCCGAAGTCACCAACACGTCCTCCCTCTGTGAAACTGTAACAGATGTTGGTATAATACATGTAAACCCTGAATCTGTCAAAGTGTCTTAGGCTGTTATCCTGGTAGTGTTGGTGACTTTGAGCCCACAGGTGTACTGTCTGTCTGTCTGTCTGTCTGTCTGTCTGTCTGTCTGTCTGTCTGAACGCCTTGGCCTGGCCTGCCTGTGTGCCCTTCTTGCAGCTCTCTCTGTTCTTCTTCCGTCCTGTAGAAAGAGTACAGGAGGGATCTAGAGGAGGGAGTGAAGGGTAAAGGGCTAACTGTACTGGAGGAAACTCCGGAGCTTTTGAGAGCAAGGAATGCCACTCAAATCCTGTGTGAGGTATGGCTGACTGAGAAGTGATGGAAACACCATCACACTCTCAACTGAGTGCCTTCCCACAATCCTGCTGTGGTGCACCATCTGCTGAATCCTCTCCCCTAACTGAGCTTCATCATCACACTAAAAGGGCGACTGCTGGGTGTGACTTTGATCCTTGCTTCATGACATCACTAATCTTTCAGCACCCTCCTTTCTTTGATTCTTATGAAATGTTCTTACAAGTTAAAACCTTCTCCTTCATCTGTTTGAGTTCCCACGGGTTCCTCTCACACTCGTCTTCTTGTAATGTCCGATAAATGTTCCAGAGATCAACCTCAGATGTACTGAAAGCACATTGTGTTGAGGTTTAATATGAAACATGCAACACTCTGTATTTATTCAGGATTTTATCTTTGACTAGTTTATAGTTACTGATTTCACAGCAGACGTAGCTGCAGCCCACCTGCACACAGGAAGAATAACAGAAGTGCTTAGTGCTGTAGGAAATAGGGATGAGCCAGTACGTCATCATTTTATCTGCATCCTTTCAACCAACTCAATTATCTGTACCTGTATCCATACCTGGAATGGGCGGGGTTTAAAGAGGAAGTGGCTGGGGCCTAACCAGACATCACTTAATTTTAGATCTGCTCGACCCTGGTGGTCAACAAAGCATCAAGGCTGTGCACAAGAAGTCAAGACTTTACATCATTTTAATTGAGCTCACTGTTTTTGTTAAAATGTGCTCTGGGGGAGGTTGATATTTGGAACGAACATCAGACGAAACACTGTGAAGAACTTTACGGGTTTTTACATAAACTGAAATAATGAAAAATGAAAGTGGAAATAGACGATAACTCGTTATGAAGTGAATGTTAACCACACAGTGTAATGGTGATAGAATAATGACATCATTGGAGTTTAGATTGGTTTCCTTCAAGCCTCTCTTAAAGGGCCAGTGTGTAATATTTGGCATGGTTTATTGTCAATCTGAATCTGAATCCGAATATTCTACCCATTAATATGTTTATATAAGTGTATAATCACTATAAAATAAAATTCGTTTGGTTTTCGTAGCCTTATAGTTATGCTTTTATATATATATAGCAAGGGCCTTGTTTTAGAGAGGTCGCCATCTTGCGCCGCCATGTATGTACAGCAGACTGAGTGGACGATCCAGCCAGCCAGAGAACGCGTTTCGCGTGTATAAATGAACCAATGAAGACAGCGGAAGGAAGGAAGAAGGAGGAAGAAACAGCAGAGAGTGTTAGTAGTTCGTCGATGGAGAGTAGTGAAAAGTTTTTTTAGTTATAAAGTTTGCGAATGGACCACACTTACCACACAACAGGAGAGAATGAACCCGAACCGTCATCTGCGAGGAAAAGAAGACGCAACTTCACTCCTTGTGATGCACCCTCTGCGGCGCTTTTCCTCCTGATGATATATCTCCCCAACGATGGCAGCAGTAGCACCGAATCCCATTCTGTGCATTCAGCCTCTGTTCTCACCCGCTCAGCATCAAACACATGGAGTTCCTCATCTGTGTGCTCCGGCTCAAACAGGTATGGCTCTGGGTCTGTGTCTGCTACAAGAAACTCTTCAAAATCACGTTCAAAGTCGTCCATTGCAGCTACTATAGTCCGGAGATATTGCTAGGCTAAATAAACAGCTGAGCTCTGTTTACAGGCTACGCTGTCAGTCAGTGTGCGGGCTGGAGATTGGTGGAGCAGAGAGGGGAGGGGGGTCCCCACTCAGTATGGTAAACGAGTATGTGTGTAAAGTTATGAAGTGTGTCTGTTACGCTAGAAGAGTCAGAGTTTGGGACGGAGTCTTTTACCCCCTGGAGTGTTACCGGAGTTTTTGGAGTGCTCAAATAAACGGGCCTTTTTCCCGAACGCTCCTCTGGTCTCCTGCTCGTGAGGGATTCATTACAATATCGTAACATGGTTTAGATTTCTAAATAAACATTCACCTCGTCGCTAGATAGACCTACTCCTGAAAAACTCGTGCGCAAGGCTTTTTGTCCCTACGAGGCCACCGTCATTTACCCGACGGGAGGGGTGAGCGAGTGAGCCCTGCAATCTAGAATTTGACCACTGATGTCACTGTTTTCAACCCATTTTACACACTGGCCCTTTAAGACTCACCAGTTTCACCAGCTATGATCGCTCTGGAAAATGGTGTTTACAGCACAAAGGAAGTGCATCAACCAAAACAGGAAGAGGATAGTGCTTTGTTTTCCTCGGTGGCTTTCCAAAGACTATCACTGTAATGTCTTTGAAGCTATTATCCTCAGCAGCAAAAATGACAGAACAATCAAAGCAACTTCAGAAAACAAAAAAACAGTGTGTGCTGAGCTGTTGGTAGCTGAGGCTCTGAGGTAAACAAGAAGTGATCTGGTTGTCTTTGGGCATCAACAATAATACCACTTGTAAATAAGAGGGAGGGAAAAGCTGAAGAGTTGTCTGTTTCCACTTTAAGAGAAACTATACTTTAACACACCGTCTTTAACTCGTGTTGTTTTATCTTTCCACACAATCTGCTGTCCCGATGACCTTTGAAAATAAAATTTCCTCTAACCGTCTTTATTCACCATCTCTTGGATGTTTGGTTTTGCATCCTCTCAGTATGAATAAATCCTGTTATCTATAGTTGTCTGACAGTCGTATTAGTACAGTGCTTTGTTTAACACCTGATCACCTGTAACATTTACAGAGAGAGTACAAGAAGTCACTGGAGCAGGAGATCAAGGGCAAAGGAATGTTGGCTTTGGCTACAGACACCCCCGACTTCATGAGGGCCAGGAACGCCACTGACATCCTCAGTCAGGTCTGAATCATACTGTGTCTCCATTTAGATCTATCAGTGATCCACAGACTGGCTCTGGTGTGTTTGTGTCAGGTCTGAATCTGTGCTGAATGATATATATATTTATTGTGTTTCAGACCAAGTACAAGCAGACCGCTGAGATGGACAGGGCCAGCTACACCACTGTGATCGACACCCCAGACATTATCCACGCTCAACAGATGAAGAACATCGTCAGCCAGGTGATTAAACCTTCCACAGGTTTCAGTTATAGGTTTCAGTGTGGAGGATTTAGAAGCATCCAGCAGTGAGGTTGCAGATTTTTAACCAACTGAATACCCCTCTGCCTGCCTCCTTACGGTGGCCTTCAGGTGACATAAAGCCACAGACTGTATAAAAAATGGATGCAGCCACCGTGACATCACCTGTTGGTTTGTGGACTCCTGTTTTAAAGCCTCAAGTCGGACATTATGGTCATCGCCATTTTGGATATTTGGAGCCAGAAGTGAGCAGATTCAGAGCTAACCCTAACGTTAGGTGCTAGATTGTTTAGCACGGTACATTTACAGCTCTGATTAACTGTGATAACGCTAATGCTAATTTTTTGCTAGCAAAAAACAAACAAATGTCATCACCAGAAAATATGAACATCCGATAACTGAACACTGAACAAGACTTTTTTAAGTGACCAAAATGTTACAATCAACTTTCATGAACTGAAAACACACTGAAATAGCAACAGCTATGCATACACTCTTTTAATCTGGGGTGATGCCACGGTTACGTTACCTAACCAACGCTGTCGCTGTGGTATCAGCTTGTCAGCTCAAAGTGGACACACCCTTAATTATGCATAAAAAAAAATCAGTCCCTGTTGTCATGAATGTTGAAATAATCTTTAGAGACCTGTAAACATGTTTATTTCTACACGTGAACATGGAGGTCTGTGGGGACTGACTCACTCATGGAGTCAGCCTCAAGTGGACATCAGAGGAACTGCAGTTTTTGGCACTTCCTGTTGGCTTCATTTCTCAGCCACAGAGGTTACCGCTTGGTTAAAAGGTGAAAGGTTCTTTCTGGAAACTGCTTGTCCGCTCTGGGCTACTGTAGAGACATGGCAGGTTTTGTGGAAGAGGATCTGCTCCCTGTATAGATAAAAACAACTCATTCTAAGCCAACGAAAACACAACAACACTTAGTTTCAGCTGATTTTACACTGATGAAAACACTAGAAATGTTCTGAATGTTCTGTTTCTGCCCATACACCCCCTGAATCCTTCACACTGGACATTTAACACATGTCTGGGGAAATCCTAAAACAATGAACTGAAGAGTCTTGAAATATTGTGTGGATCTGTTTTAATAATGAAACATCCTACTGTTTGTGTCCACCAGAAAAAGTACAAGGAGGAGGCAGAGAAGACGATGTCTCACTATGTGCCGGTCCTGGACACTCCTGAGATGCAGAGAGTCCGAGAGAACCAGAAGAATTTCAGCACTGTAAGTCATGAAATGATAAATGATGCTGATGGTGACGTACAGTGTGAAGTCAGAGGATCCTCTGGTGTCTGCTGCTCATTCTGTGTGTGTCTCTGTGTCTGTGTTCTCTTATTGGACTGAGTCCAGCTGTAAAGTGTTTGGTGTCACGTGTTGAGTCAGCTCAGTGTCGTATTCAGAGAAAAAGCTTTGGAGCTAATCCTGAGCAGAAACTGAGACACTTTTTCATAGTTTCTGGTTTTCTGTTTCTTTTCTTCTCTTTATCATTGTGAAACATTTTAACTGCACTTTGTTTTTCTCTCCTGTAGAATCTTTACCAGATTGACCTTAAAAACATAAAGGGCAAAGTGTCTACTGTAAAGGACACTCCTGAAATGCTTCGTGTTAAAGAGAATACAAAGAATTTCAGCTTGGTATCTACGTCATATTATTATTTCTTTTCTTAATATTTCCTAATAACACTTTTCCTTACTCCTCTCTTTATTTTTTAACCACCCTGACATGCAGCCCCAATTTCTTTGGACCAAACACAGAGTTTTTAACCATGTAGAATAAGCAGCATTTTAATTCACGCCACTAACCCCTGACAGTTTCTCTATAGTGCAACATGTCTGTGTGTTAGTGCAGAGCTTGTGTGTTGTTAGATATGTGTTCACAGAACCATGATGTCGTGGGTGTGTTGGTTTATGTGTGTGTTTGTCTCATTCAGTGTGTTTTTGTTGGTGTGTGTTGGATTGTATTCACAAAGCAGATAAAATAGTTTGCAAGTTAAATGAAGCACCACGTCCTGGTTACCAGAGAGCTGAAATCAGGCTAACCTCTGGTTGCTGCTTTCATTCCTCGTCCATGTAAAGATTCAGTACAAAGAGGAGGTGGGAGGAGGAACAGCTTTACCGGAGACGCCTGAGATGGAGAGAGTTAAACGCAACCAGCGGAACGTTAGCACGGTACTCCACAGAGTGACCCTGCCCTCCACCAGCTTTACCTCCATATCCCCTCCTGTTCTCAGAATATAACCCGACCTGTCCTCACACGTCATCTCTTCAAATAATAATCTGCAAATCGCCATTTCAATCCAGCATTTTACAGATTTATTTCATGTTTGTTATTTTACTTTCAGTATAATATTTTCTCACTAATTACAGGATTGTACGGAGCCCCCAAAGACAACACACGTTTTAGTTTAACTTGTGGAAAGGTAGAGATGTAGCTTCGTCTTTACTGCAATACACACGCCTGTTTCCACAGAACACTACATGGCCAAAACTATGTGGACACTCCTTTCCAAGGACTTTTGGTTTATTGCTGTTTTTCATTGTTTGGTCTGAGCAGCTTATTTCCATACAGATGAAAAGTTAATGCTCCAGCATGCAGTGGGCTTTAGACTAAACAAAAACTTCTCTTTTTGCTCCCATCATTGCTCACAGGCTCAAGTTTAAGATCTAAGACTTTTTGTGCTTACAGAAGTCTTCTTTATCTTTATCTCAAATTTTGGTCACAGGTGTGTTAAAATCCATGTTAGTGACCTCTTTCCTAAGATAACCCATCCACCTGACAGGTGTGTCTGGTTAAACAGCATCGTTACTACACAGGTGTGTCTTGGGATCATCACAATGAAAGGTCACTCTGCAATGAGTAGTAATGTTTGATCACACGACATAATGCCGAAGGTATCACAGGTTTATGAGGTAGTGTGTTGTTGGTATACTGACTGCAGTAATGTTCACAACAACACAATACAACTCCAATGTCTTTTCACTGAATTTGGCAGTACATCCAACCAACATCACAACTGCAGATCATGTACAAAACACATCCAACATCATCATCAAGATCCTCTGAGAAATAAGTCTTTGTTGCATAAAACAGTCTCAGATATTCAACCTGTGATAAATAGGAGCAAAAACAAGTGTTGCAATTATATTTTAATTCAGTATATGACAATGAATGTTGCCGTGCACAAAGCCGTGTCCATAAAGAAAAAGTTTTTCCAGAGTCCTGACCTCAACCCCATCTGAGACCTTTACAATTAACTAAACTGGCAACTGTGAGCCAGACCTCATCACCCAACACCAGTGTCCGACCTCACCAACACTTTAGTGGCTGAATGGGATCAAATATCTGCAGCTGAAAGAGTGGGAGCTGTTTCAGTTTCATATTATAGACCATGATTTTAAAATGTTTGAAAACCGTTGCACAGTACAGCAGTGGTTGGGTGTCTACATACTTTTGGCAGCATAGTGAACGTGTCCATCAGTTCCTTTGAGGGCTCCGTAGGATTTTTCTTTCTCATGATAATTCATCACATCTAAACCCTGAAGTCATAAACTAAATCAAGTATCATCCATTTTAAAGCAGAGTGTGAATATTTCACAACCTTATTTATCACCAACACTCCCAACTGTCACTGACCTGTGTGAACACTGGCATCACGTGTTACTGTCAGCTGTTGTATGTTGGTGATATGAATCAGTGGACATGTCTGTGTGTCCTCAGTACATACTGTCCTTTGTGTCTGTCCCTGTCTGACTCTGTGTCTCATGGGTCAGATTCAGTACAAGGACTCTGTGGGTCAAGGCACGTCCATCCCAGATCTCCCTGAGGTGAAGCGGGTCCGAGAAACCCAGAAGAATATCAGCTTGGTAGAGACAAAGGACTGCAGTGACCCTGATCTGACCCCCTTACAGTCATTTCATAAAATGCCCTCTGACCTCTCCTACTAGTCTGA